CCTTGGCCTGCACTTAAACACAATCAGCTCTGACAAAATTACCATCTGCTGGCTGCAGAAGGCCACCTTACTGGGATCTGCACGCATTATTCGCCGATACATCACACAGTCCTAGACACTTGGGAAGTGTCCAACATGTGATCCAATTCAACAGCCAACAGAGTGTCTGCTGTGGACTCCTCTTGTGGTGCTTCAAATAATAATAATAATAATAATAATAATAATTATTATTATTATTATTTATATTCCGCCCTATCACCCCGAGGGGAATCAGAGTAGATTAAAGTATATACAAGCACAAACACAGGCAAATATTCAATGCCCTGATACAATGAGACAGAAATCCACAGGCAAAAGCAAAGGCTTCCCCTTTCACCCCTGGCTTCTGGAGGCGGTGCTCAACTCCAGCTCTGAGGAAGGTGTTAATCTCCATTTCCAAACCAAAGAGCCTGTATTGTCCATATATGCCTCCTGGTTGTGTGGCAGGCATGATTGCTTGGAGTGCCTAGTTGCCTTCCCGCCGAGGCAGTACTTATTGATCTACTCACATTTGCATGTTTTTGAACTACTAGGTTGGCAAGAGCTGTCAGTTTTCCAGGCTGTATGGTCATGTTCCAGAAACATTCCCTCCTGACGTTTTGCCCACATCTATAGCAGGCATCCTCTACAGGCCAATGGATACTCCACCACAGATATCAGAAGAGCCAAGCATGGCTTCAGGGGACCTTTACGAGCTCTTCTGATGTCTGCGGTGGAGTATCCATTTTTCTGTAAAAGATGCCAGCCATAGATGTGGGCAAAACATCAGGAGATAATGCTTCTGGAACATGGCCATAATTCTGCTTTAACTTGCTATTGTAAGACCAAAATAAAACATAGAAAGGGGGCAATGTGTATTTATGGGCCTTCCCACATAGAGGCGTCTTCTTGCAGCCTGGCCTAGAAAATGAACTGGAACAGAATTCAGGTCCTGAAATGCTTAGCTTGATCATTCTTAAGTGACAGCAGGTTTCAAGACAAGTAGCAGTAGTTTAATTACTTGGCTAGAGTTCAGCTAAAAATGGTGCTGTAGTTTCAGGTTTTTCCTGACAAGGCTTTTACATTCATATCCCAGATTTGTTAAGTAGTTCATTCTGTGGTTTGCAAATTTCCAGGTCTTATGGGTGTTCAAAGAGAAACGAACTGAAGATTGTCAACCGAATTGAGGGGCCTTGGGGTAGCTAAGCATGTCTTGCCTGATACAAATTGGATTGACATACCATATAATGTATACAATGTATACCCCCCCCCCCAAAAAAAAATCCAGATTGCAGGTATGCATCCAACTGATGTTCTGTCATCTCCCTTTTTCAAATTTTTTTAAAAGAATGTTTCAATTTCTCTCTCTTTATCCCCCTTTCTCCTTTGTCTTCAATTTAATTAAATTGCTGCAGTGAGGTCCAAAAGACACAAGATGTTTGCATCAATTTATTCTGCTGTGGGAGAAGAGCCGAGGAGGCAGAATTTGGCAAAAACAGACGACTCTTCTATCTTGTTGTGTTCCTTCTTTTAATAACTTTTGTCACCTTACCACACACTGATGTTGTTTGGTTATAACATGCCACGGTTTTTGTCTGTAAAATGCTGAAGGGTAGGATGTTGGCTTCTGGTTTGATGCTGATTTTGTAGATTATGCTCAATAGGCACATTTCTAGCTACTTTGCTTACTTACTTACTTATTTATTTATTTACTTACTTAGGTGATCCCTCATTGGCTGAGTAGGCTCTCCTCCCAATAAGCAAGTGTCTCCTGATTTCCTGGCTGATTTCCTGGCTGCAATCTGCGTCTGCAGTAATACAAAATCTGTCACCGCCTCCTCGTTTTCTTCCTCTATTTCCCAGTTGTCAATCATTCTTGTTTCCATAATCTTGGGGGTTTTTTTTATGTTTAACTGCAACCCAGCTTTTGTGCTTTCTTCTTTCACCTTGATTAGAAGGTTCCTCAGCTCCTCTTTGCTTTTGGCCATCAAAGTGGTATCATTTGCATATCTAAGGTTGTTAATATTTCTTCCAGCAATTTTCACCCCAGCCTTGGGAAGCCCCGCACATCCTCGCATGATGTGTTCTGCATACAAGTTGAATAGGTTGGGTGAGAGTATACAACCCTGCCGTACGCCTTTCCCAATCTTGAACCAGTCTGTTGTTCCGTGGTCAGTTCTGACTGTTGCTACTTGGTCCTGATATAGATTCCTCAGGAGAGAGACAAGGTGATTTCGTATGCCCATTCCACCAAGAACTTGCCACAATTTATTATGATCCACATAGTCAAAGGCTTTAGAATAGTCAATAAAACAGAAATAGATGTTTTTTCTGAAACTCCCTGCCTTTTTCCATTACCCAGTGGATATTGGCAATTGGGACTCTCGTTCCTCTGCCTTTTCTAAACTCAGCTTGTACATCTGGCAGCTCTCGCTCCATGTATTGCTGGAGTCTTCCTTGCAGGATCTTGAGCATTACCTTACTGGCATGAGAAAAAAGGGCCACTGTACGGAAGTTTGAGCAGTCTTTAGCATTTCCCTTTTTTGGTATGGGGATATGTTGATTTTTTCCAGTCTGATGGCCAATTCTTGTGTTTTCCATATTTGCTGGCATATGGCATGCATCACCTTGACAGCATCATCTTTCAAGATTTTAAACAGTTCAGCTGGGATCCCGTCGTCTCCTGCTGCCTTGTTGTTAGCCATGCTTCTTAAGGCCCATTCAACCTCACTCCTCAGGATGTCTGGTTCTAATTCACTCACCACACCGTCAAAACTATCCCCTATAAACAAACATATTTTCTTTTTATTATACTAGCTTAGCTAACTGGTGATGCCCACGTCAGGTAATGTTAATGACAAATATTAGATGTATTCATTATTTGCTTTGAGGGTTTAAGAATGGTCCATTGTTACAATAGAAAATATATAATGATGTGAGTGAGCTACAAATCCCATCATTCTGGTTCTATCCCCCCCCCCCCCCAATGCTGCAAATCTTCAAAGTTGGCCATGTTGGATCTTCATGCCAAATACTATACAGATCCATCATTGTTTGGGTTCATCACGTTCTCTGGATGGGAGTGAACTATAACTCCCAAAATTCAAGGTCAATTCTCTCCAAACCCCGCTAGTATATAAAGTTGGCCTCAATGAGTATATGTGCCTAGTATGGTATAGATCCATTGTTGGTTGGGTTCACAGCTCCCTCTAGATGCAAGTGAACTACAACTCCCCAGATTCAAGGTCATCCTCCCCCCAAACCCTACCAGTATTCAAGCTTGGCCATGTTGATTATGCATTCCAAGATTTGTGGTCAGTTGGCCTCACAGCAATCTTTGGATAGACATCCCAAAATTGTGGATCATTTCCCCCAAATTCTGATGATATTGAAAGTTGGTCACGTTGGGTCTGTGTGCCAAGTTTGGTCCAGATCCATCGCTGGTTGGCTTCAGAGTGTTCTCTGGATGTGGGGTGAACTATAACTCCCAAAACTGAAAGTAAATTCCGACCAAACCTCACCAATATTAAACGTCAGTGGGGGGTGGGGTGGGGTGCCTAGTGTGGTGGTCCAGATCTATCACTGGTTGGGTTCACAGTGCTCTCTGGATGCAGGTGAACTATAACTCACAAAACTGAAAGTCAATTCTGACCAAACGCCACCAGTATTCCAAGTTGGCTGTGTGTGCCAAATTTCGTCCAGATCCATCATTGATTGGTAGATGTAAAAGAAAGGAAGGAAGGAAGGAAGAGGGAAGGAAGGAATTATGGAAGGAAGGAAGGAAGGATGGAATTAAGAAAGGGAGGGAGAGAGGGATTAAGGAAGAAATTAAAGAAGAAATTAGGGAAGGAATTATGGACGGACGGACGGAAGGAAGGAAGGAAGGAAGTAGGGAAGGAATTAAGGAAGAAAGGAATTATGGAAGGAAGGAAGGGATTAAAGAAAGAAGGAAAGGATTAAGGAAGGAAAGAAGGGATGAAGGAAGGAAAGAAGGAAGGAATTAAGGAAGGAAGGAAAGGAGGAATTATGGAAGGAAGGGAGGGAAGGATTAGGGTAGGTAGGAAGGAAGAAATTAGGGAATTAAGGAAGAAAGGAATTTAGGAAGGAAGGAATTAAGGAAGGAAAGGAAGAATTATGGAAGGAAGAAAGGAAGGACGTAGGGAAGGAATTAAGGAAGGAGGGAATTAAGGAAGGAAGGAAGGAAGGAATGAAACTGGGACAGAAGGAATTAAGGAAGGAAGGGATTAAGAAAGGAAAGAAGGAAGGAAGAAATGAATGAAGGAATTAAGGAAGGAAGGAAAGGAGGAACTATGGAAGGAAGTGAGGGAGGGAAGCTTTAAGGTGGGTAGGAAGGAAGAAATTAGGGAATTAAGGAAGAAAGGAATTTAGGAAGGAAGGAATTAAAGAAGGAAAGGCGGAATCAAGGAAGGAAGGAAGTAGGGGAGGAATTAAGGAAGAAAGGAAATTAGGAAGGAAGGAATTAAACTGGGACAGAAGGAATTAAGGAAGGAAGGAAAGGAGGAATTAAGGAAGGGAGGGAGGGAGGGAGGGAAGCATTAAGGTGGGTAGAAAGGAAGAACTTAGGGAATTAAGGAAGGAAGGAATTTAGGAAGGAAGGAATTAAGGAAGGAAGGGATTAAGAAAGGAAGGAAGGAAGAAAGAAAGAAATGAAGGTAGGAAGATAGATGAGAGAGAGAGAGAGAAAGGGTGCATCTTCACTGTGGAATTAATGCAGAGCTGCATTCTCTGGGAGAACACTAGGTAACATGGATGTTGTTCTCCAGAGAAGGATGCAAGTCTAGTAAAATAAAATAAAACCTCCCGTGATCCCACCGGATGGCGTGAAGGCGGTACCAAAGCGCGTTCCTTCCAGAGTGTGGAAGCTGTGGCAGCCGGCTTGGCTTCCCCTGCGGCGAGGTCCGCCTCCCTCGTCCTTCCCTTTGGCCCGCCGCCCGGAGGCGGACTGAAAGACCTCAGAGGGTATAAAGCGCTTTTTCTCTGGAGGAAAAAGAGAAGGAAGGAAAGGAGGGGGGGAGGGAGGCAGCTCCGCCGGCGCCATGGAAGCCATTTTCGGCAGGAACATTGAGGAGCACCCGGAGCCCCTCCAAGCCCGAGTGGAAGGTATGTCCGCCCAAGAAAAGCGGAAGGAGAGATACGGGCGCGTCTACATTGGAGCCTTTGCGCGGTTTGGCTCCGCTTCAGCCGCCTTGGCTCAGCCCTGCAAGTTGCACCTGCCCTTTCGGAACAGAAAGGCCTTGCGACACACGCTCTTCACTTTGGGGAGAGAAAGTAGGTGATTCCCTGGCCTGCCTTCCTTCTCCAACCCATGTGTGGGACTCCAGGGGAGATCCAGGACTGGCCCCAAATGCTTGGGGTCCGCACCAGTTCTGCAGGTTGAGTTCTTAAGTTTGGATGGGAGTCGGAACAGGGACTTTCCAAAGGGTACCTCCAGGCACACAAACACATATATATACCCCTCTACCGACTCAGATATAAACTTAAAAGCAAACCTACAGAACCAATACGTATATATGGCTGTATGTGTGGAGGCTCCTTCTTTGGAGGCTTTGAAACACAGGCTGGATGGCCATCTGCCGGGGGTGCTCTGAATGTCAATTTCTTGCTTCTTGGCAAAATGGGGTTGGACTGGATAGAGATCCCTTCCTTCCTTCCATAATTTCTTCCTTCCTTCTTTAGTCCCTTCCTTAATCACTTCCTTCTTTTCTTAATTCTTTCCTTCCTTCTTTCCTTCCTTCCTCAATCCCATCCTTCCTTTCTTAATCACTTCCTTCCTTCTTTAATTCCTTCCTTTCTTCCTTAATCCCTTTCTTCCTTAATGGCTTCCTTTCTTAATCACTTCCTTCCTTAATTCCTTCCTTTCTTCCTTCCTTCCATAATCCCTTTCTTCCTTAATCGCTTCCTTCCTTTCTTAATTCCTTCCTTCTTTCCTCCCTTCCTTCCTTCCTTCCTTCCTTAATCCCTTCTTTTCTTAATTCCTTTCTTCTTTCCTCCCTTCCTTCCTTTCTTAATTCCTTCCTTCCTTTTTTCCTCCCTTCCGTTCTTACTTCCTTCTTTAATCCCGTCCTTCCTTAATCCCTTCCTTCCTTAATTCCTTTCTTCTTTCTTTTCTCCCTTCCTTAATCCCTTCCTTCCTTAATCCCTTCCTTTCTTCTTTCCTCCCTTCCTTTATTACTTTTTTAATCCCGTCCTTCCTTAATCTCTTCCTTCATTTCTTAATTCCTTCCTTCTTTCTTTCCTCCCTTCCTTAATCCCTTCTTTCCTTTCTTAATTCCTTTCTTCTTTCTTTCTTTCTTTCCTTCCTTCCTTACTTATTTGCTTTCTTTCTTTCTTAATTCCTTCTTTCCTTCCTTCCTTCCTTCCTTTCTTCCTTCCTTAATCCTTTCCTTCCTTAATCCCTTCCTTTCTTAATTCTTTCCTTTCTTCTTCCCTCCCTTCCTTTCTTACTTCTTTCTTTAATTCCTTCCTTTCTTAATCTCTTCCTTCCTTTCTTAATTCTTTCCTTCTTTCTTCCCTTCCTTCCTTAATCCCTTCCTTTATTAATCCCTTCCTTCCTTAATCCCTTACATCTTCCCTTCCTTTCTTCTTTCCTTTTCAACCTTCCTGAATTCCTCCCTTCTTTCTTTCTTTCTTTCTTTCTTTCTTTCTTTCTTTCTTTCCTTCCTTCCTTCCTTCCTTCCTTCCTTCCTTCCTTTCTTAATTCCTTCCTTTCTCCTTCTTTCTTTCTTCCCTTCCTTCCTTCCTTGCTTAATCCCTTCCTTTATTAATCCCTTCCTTCCTTCCTTCCTTCCTTCCTTCCTTACTTACTTAATGTTAATTCCTTCCTATGTTGGTAGGATTCTGTGATTCCTAATTTTCCATGCAAGTCAGAACAAGGACTTTTTAAAAGAGTAGTTCTAGTCAAATGTCTATATCTATATATCTTGTATGTAAGTCAAATCTGGGACTTCTATCTATCTATCTATCTATCTATCTATCTCCTTAAATTTGTAAGTTGGAACAGGGACTTTTTAAAGCAGTGGTTCTCAACTTTCCTAAAGCCGCAGCCCTTTAATACAATTCCTCATGTTGTGTTGACCCCCAACCATAACATTATTTTTGTTGCTACTTCATAACTGTAATTCTGCTACTGTTATGAATCGCAATGTAAATATCGGATATGCAAGATGTATTTTCATCCACTGGACCAAATTTGGCACAAATACTCAATATGCCCACATTTGAATACTGGTGGGGGTGGGATTGATTTTATAATTTGGGAGTTGTAGTTGCTGGAATTTATAGTTCACCTACAATCCAAGAGCATTCCGAACTCCACCAGTGATGGGATTGAACCAAACTTGGTACACAGAACACCCATGACCAACAGAAAGTAGTGGGAGGGTTTGGTGGGCATTGACCTTAAGTTTTGGAGTTGTCGTTCACCTACATCCAGAAAGCACTGTGGACTCAAGCAATGATGGATCTGGACCAAACTTGGCACAAATACTCAATAGGCCCAAATGTAAACACTGGTGGAGTTTAGGGAAAGTAGACCTTGACATTTGGGAGTTGTAGTTGATGGGATTTATAGTACACCTACAATCAAAGAGCATTCTGAACTCCACCAACGAGAGAATTGGGTCAAAGGTCCGACACAGAAACTCCCTGACCGACAGAAAAGAAGGTGTTTCTGATGGTCTTTGGTGACCCTCTGGCACCCCTCTCGCAACTTCCCCAGGGATCCCAATCCCCAGGTTGAGAAACGCAGTTTTAGTAATAGTTTCAGCCAAATATCTGTATATATTTGTATCTATCTATCTGTCTATCTATTTATTCACATATATGTAAATGTTCTTAAGCTTGTATGTAAGTTGGATCAAGGACTTTTTAAAGTGTAGTTCCAGCCAAATACATACATACATACATACATCCTTAAGTTTGTATGTCATTCAGAATAGAATTTTTTTAATGTAGTTCCAGCCATATACATATCCTTAAGTTTGAAAGTCAGAAAATGACTTTTTTAAAAGGGTAGTTCCAGCCACATATATGTGTGTGTGTGTTCCAATTTTTGTATGCAAGTCTCCATGTTAACATATATTGTTGTAAATGCATATTTATGTTTATTGATTGTTTTATATGTGAGTTTTAATTGCTGTTGTTTTGTACTTTTGTTTTGTCACTTTGGATCCTTTTGTGGGAGAAAAGTGGGATATAAACAAAGATTTTTAAAATTATTTTTATTATGCAAGTCAGAACAGGGACATTTTAAAGTGTAGTTCCAGCCAAATGTGTACTTAATTTTGTATGCAAGTTGGAACAGGGACTTTTTAAAGGGTAATTCCAGCCAAATATGTGTGTGATCTTAAGTTTGTATGCAAGTCGGAACAGGAACTTTTAAAAGGTAATTCCAGCCAAATATGTGTGTGATCTTAAGTTTGTATGCAAGTCGGAACAAGGACTTTTTAAAGGGTAGTGCCAGCCAAATATGTGTGTGTTTTTAAGTTTGTATGCAAGTCGGAAAAAGGCTTTTTAAAGGGTAGTTCCAGCCAAATATGTGTGTATTCTTAAGTTTTAATGCAAGTCGGAACAGGGACTTTTTAAAGGGTAATTCCAGCCAAAAATGTGTGTGTTCTTAAGTTTGTATGCAAGTTGGAACAGGCACTTTTTAAAGGGTAGTTCCAGCCAGGGCTGTAGCCAGAAAAAAATTTCGGGGAGGGTTGAACATTTCGGGAGGGGGGGGGAGCTGAAACCTGCCTCTTAGCTCACGCTGAGGAGCCCCCAGTGGCACAGCGGGTTAAACCCCTGTGCCGGCAGGACTGAAGACCGACAGGACGCAGGTTCGAATCCGGGGAGAGGCGGATGAGCTCCCTCTATCAGCTCCAGCTCCTCATGCGGGAACATGAGAGAAGCCTCCCACAAGGATTATAAAAACATCAAATCATCCGGGTGTCCCCTGGGCAACGTCCTTGCAGACGGCCAATTCTCTCACACCAGAAGTGGCTTGCAGTTTCTCAAGTCGCTCCTGACACGACAAAAAAGCTCATGCTGCACTAGCCTGCAGCTCCGCCACTGTCAACCACCTCCACCAAGTCTGGCCTCCTTAATGAGAACATTCAACATTCCCCCCCACCAACTTGGTTGCTTCGCTACATTGGCTATTGTTGCAAGTAATGACAGTGTGAATAAATTGTCAATATTTGCTTGAGATAGTGCTTGCAGTTCTGGAGGGACTCTTAATTTTTTGCGTCTCATAGACTTAGCATGGCGATTTGATTAACCAGTTAAAATTCATGAGTAAATCAGGTTTATTTTTTTTAACCTGAAAAATTTCGGGGGGGGAGTGAACCCCTAACCTCCCCCTCGCTACAGGCCTGGTTCCAGACAAACTACATGGGTGGATCAAAAAGTTTTGCCTCCTGTGTCATGAAGACGTTATGAATGAACATATAATAGCAGAAGTTGCTACAGATCATAGCCTGAAGTGTCCTCTACACAAAACTACCATCCAACATGGTAGGACATTAAGATCATCTGGGGAGGCCCTGCTCTTGACTCCTCTGCGTCACAAATATTGGCAGGGACGAGAGACTGGGCCTTCTCAGTGGTGGCCCCTCGGCTATGGAACGCCCTTCCTAGGGCATTAGATCAGCCCCCTCCCTTTTGACATTCTGAAAAAAAGTCAAAACCTGGCTATTCGAGCAGGCGTTTGAAAAGGCAGTGTAATTAGACATAGGATTATGGAACAATTAGACTATGAGTTTGGTTATGTTTTTATCTAGGAGATGAAATGATTGTTCTTATTACTGTCATGGTTTTAATTGATGTGTTAATGCTTTTTAATGTTTTTATGATGTTGGCATTGAATTGTTGCCTCGAGTCGCCTACGTGCTGAGAGGGGCGGTATACAAATGTAGCAAATAAATAAATAAATAAATAAACATAGTCACCATCAATTTGGACACATTTGCGCATTGTTTAACCTGGGCATCGAAAACATTTTGGAAAAATTCATGATTTGTGACCCATGATTTTAAAGCTGTTTTAATGTCATTCAAGTCGTTAAACATGAAACCACATAGGTTGTCTTTCCGAGATCCAAACAAAACAGGGAAAAGTCA